CCTGAACGGAACGCTTCGCGGCGCTGTGGGCGACACGAAATGCTAGGGACGGCCAGCAGCTGACAGCAGCTGGATGCGCCTTCGAATCTAGCACGAACGCCATCCTGACACCAAGTACACTGCCGGGATGACACTGGATGCCAAGTTGGAGGGCACGGCTGCTTCCAATGCAGACAGGCGGCAGACACACTCAGGTGGTGGATGAACTTGCAATCGGCCATCGAGCACGCGATGGAACGGCGGATGATGTCCAATAAATCCAAGTACTATGGTGTACCAAATCCTGTTTCCCTAGTTCGAACAACAGACTGGGCTAGTTTGCAGCACGGCATTCCGTCCGTTAGGCCCCATGCGCCTTTTGTTTTCGCCGCTGTGCTTGGGAGTTACCGTTTTCGAACAACTTCAAGGACATGACGTGTCCTCGCTGCGCTTGCTCAGGCAGTGCAATGTGAAACTTCGCTCCCTGTACAGGCTTTGCAAGCGATGCCAGATTGCCGAAGCTCCATCTTGGAGGCAGGCAAGGCAGATCTTTTCGACAGTATCTGCCGCGATAGCGCAGTGCAGCATCACATGCTGCTGAAGACCGGAAAACGACGTCACTTGGTCAGTCTAACCTCGGACAACAACAGCAGCACTAGCCACTCGTCACTGGTCACCAGCATCAGGGCAAACAGCACCAGCACCCGCAGCAGCAGCAGCACCACCACCACCACCAGAAACAGCAGCAGCAGCAGCAGCAGCGGCAGCAGCAGCAGCAGCAGCAGCAGCAGCAGCAGCAGCAGCAGTCGCCGTAGCAACAGCAGCAGCAGTAGTCGCCGTAGCAACAGCAGCAGCAGTAGTCGCCGTAGCAACAGCAGCACCACCACCACTACCACCACCATCAACACCAACACCAACACCAACACCAACACCAACAACAACAACAACAACAACAACAACAACAACGACGACAACGACACCGACACCGACAACGACAACGACAACGACAACGACAACAGCAACAGCAACAGCAACAG